CTCTGTTTTCCTACCTTAACCATTCTCTGTAACAGCTGTACTCTGCTTTCTCTTAATCTTTTACAAATTTTTCACCTTTTACCAAAGATTTCAGTGGAGGACATTTCTCACTTTCGACCCAAGCAATCTTAACCTTTACTCTGGCACAAGTAGAAGGAGGTGAGTGCAGGACAGAGACTCAGTGAGAGGAAGAGCTCCCTGTGCCACCGGCGGCATCAAAGGGAGCCCTACTCAAATGCCTTCCAGTGAGTGCAGTGGGAGCAGAATTTGCTGCTCATTGAGCAGCTTAAAAAAGGACAGTAACAAGAGGAGAGGAAGGGCATGAACCTTCATTGCCACCCGACAGCCCCTTTCTGCACTGCGCTCTCCTGCTCTGTGCCCACTTAACCCAACCTTAGAGAGACGTCTTTGTGTTTAGGACAGACTTTCCTGAGCCTCTCTGAAGCATGTCTAAGTGGCAGCGCTGTCTTCTCCAGCAGCTTCTGTAAGCAGCACAGAGGTCTCTTTTACTGTTAGAAATTCATAGGCCTACTGGCTTGTCACTCCAGAAAATGTCCAGCGTTTTCAGCAAGGCTTTTAATTCATTAGCTCACATAGGAAAATATTCTAACCTTCCTGCCCTCCCCAGCTGAGTCATTGATGCTTTCCTGTCTTGCTGCAGACACATCACCTTCAGGAAAATAATTGCTTATCATGCTGATAACAACGGACATTATCTTTCTGAACTGGGCATTTGTTTGGGATCACAGGGTCTTCCCACAATGAGGACTGCAGGACACTTTGAGGTTACTGTTTGAAACAAGTCCTGACCTTCCCTTGCAGGCTGTGAGAAATCCTTCATGGCCGCTAGGCTGGGTTCCTGGGGGAACCGGGCGAAGGTTGGAGGAAGCTCAGCCAGAGGGAAGGGGTTGAAGGATTCTGGGAGGGACTGGATGAGCTGTGGTGGTAGGGAGGGTGCACAGGAGAATAACTATGCTGGACAGGGAGGGGATAAAGAAAGAACTGTCTAAGAAGTAAAGACAGTGCTAAAAAAACCCTTTAAGCATTTCATTTTCACATTTGGTCTCTCTACAGAGTCAGTGCACAGTCCAGAGGTCTTTTCAGGGATCTGAGCTACCTGGGGACTTGAGGTTTGCCCAGGGGTTCCTTTGGTTACAGAAGGAGCAGAAGCTTCTAAGCTTGGTGTCTGTGGCCTGCGACTGTGAATGCCTCCTCTCACTGGTGAGGACATGTTGGGAGGGAACAGGTCTGAGCTACTGGGGACTTGAGGTTTGCCCAGGGGTTCCTTTGGTTACAGAAGGAGCAGAAGTCTAAGCTTGGTGTCTGTGGCCTGCGACTGTGAATGCCTCCTCTCACTGGTGAGGACATGTGGGGAGGGAACAGGATTGCCCAGTGCAGAGTTAGGTGCACTGAAGCCCACCCCAACCCTTCAGAGACCACCACCACAACGATGGGTTCAACATTAATTTCTAGCACCCAACCACTCGGGGACAAAACACAGCACCCCTGCTGCCCCACCACTGGCAGGCTCCGCAAATAACTGAGGTGTCTAAGAAGTAAAGACAGTGCTAAAAAAACCCTTTAAGCATTTCATTTTCACATTTGGTCTCTCTACAGAGTCAGTGCACAGTCCAGAGGTCTTTTCAGGGATCTGAGCTACCTGGGGACTTGAGGTTTGCCCAGGGGTTCCTTTGGTTACAGAAGGAGCAGAAGCTTCTAAGCTTGGTGTCTGTGGCCTGCGACTGTGAATGCCTCCTCTCACTGGTGAGGACATGTTGGGAGGGAACAGGATTGCCCAGTGCAGTTAGGTGCACTGAAGCCCACCCCAACCCTTCAGAGAACACCACCACAACGATGGGTTCAACATTAATTTCTAGCACCCAACCACTCGGGGACAAAACACAGCACCCCTGCTGCCCCACCACTGGCAGGCTCCGCAAATACTTGAGGGCTCCAGCCCTAACCTCACTTTCATGGTGGCCCCTTGGGAAGTCGGTGGAGCCTGACTCCTGGGAGGGTGGTGGGCACAGTTCCACAGCGAGGAACTGAAGGCCCCATTTACAGGTGACATTTGTCCCAGGGGCTTCTGTAGGCAAAGGCAGGTGGAATTTAACCACAGGTCCAGCCGACCAGTTGGATTCACTTATAGGTACATAAGCACCTTATACAGGTACAGCTATTTCTCCTTACCTCTTGAAATAAGCTGCACAAGTATATGGGATAGCAGAGGGTATCCTAGCCCCAGCCTCAATCTTGGTTCTGTAACCAGAGCTGTTGCATCAGTTCTTGCCTCTTGCTCCAGCTGATCAGCTAACTCGGGTCCCACTGAACTGCCTGCATTGCCTATGCTCTAGGACGGCTGTTGTCAGACAGCCTAACTGTGTGGACTAAACTCTTGGAAGGTGCTTGAATTTGGGTGCCAGCCATATTTCTGACTCTCAGGACCATCTCTCCCTTTCTGTGCCTCAATTTCCTTCTCTGCAACAATGTGATACCAACATAAATATTTCCTTCTTTAAGATCTTTCAGTCAGATGTGCTCTGGAAGTGTTGCAGGTTGTTGCTATTTCCAGGGCTATCGTTGTAACACATTTTGGCTCCACTAATTCCCTCAAACAGAAATTGTTCTGCCTGTAGTAGGCTGGGACAAAGCAGCCAATTAGTTGTCCCTTACACGTTTATTAACTCTGCAGCTTTCTTTCAATGAGTATGTGGAATCTGGTAATGTTTTAATATATTTTCATAAACTGTGGGCACAACATGTCCTGTTTCAAGCTAATAACCATGCCATATAATTAGTCCTGATTACACAGATATTTAGTATCATTTTACATATTCCAATCCTTTCCTAGTGCCACTGCCTAGCCAAGGCATATTTAAAGCCACAGCCATCTCCCTTCTGTTTCCCAGCAGTTTGCAAGATTTTCTTTTGGATAGGTTTGCAGTTAACACGACAGCTTCAAAGAACAATTTCATTTCATTGATGTACATTTTATATATACACAGGCTCTGATCAAATGTCAGGTGACAAAGCCCAGGATACAAATAGAAGGCATTTGTCTGCTTAGGGGAAAAGCCGGTATTTGAAAGTTATCAGGAAATTAACAACATGAATCTTTAAAAATCTATCCCTTAAACATCTGTTGGCTTTGGGCTGAACATGTACCATATTTAGGATTTTACTGTGAGGTAGCACTCCCCAGACAAAAGATCCCTTATCCCATTAGACTCTGGTGGGGGAAACGAGAAAAATTTGCTCTGTGCAACCTGATTATAGATGTGTATCTTTCCCTGCTGGCGTGGCTGTCTCTATAGAGATGGACATGGATATTTGATGAGATTAAAATGCTTCAGTTACCACTGTCAGTGGTTCTTTAATTTAAAATGAAGAAAGCAAACAAACATTCCTTTTGATGAGGTAACTGAATGATCCTACGGAAAAGCACTTTGCTGTCAGGTGGTAATTAGGTTCAGTAATAGTTGTGGGTTTTTAGCCTTGGAGGCTGTGGCCCCTGGGAGTCTGAAAGAAATGATACATTCATTTTCCGGAGGAGAGGAAGATGCTGGATGCTTTTCTCTGCTAACCCTGCAGGTCTCTGCAGATAAGAGCATTCCAAACTGCAGCACTGACAATCCTCCGTGAGCCAGCCTAAACTGTTGTGTCAAGATCACAAACAGAGAAAGGGAGACGGACCCAAAGCAGGGCATTTAAACACCTAACGCAGTCAGGCTGGCTCTAACCACATATATAAGGAACTGCCAGAATGGCTGCACTGAGAGGATTTTTAAAGGCTGCAGAAGGAACTCCAGCAGTTGCTCTATGGTCTGGGCTGATATTTGTAACATCCATCTTACGCATCACTAGAAAATCTTCAGTAGGAAAGTGTTGCTTTGCAAACAAGCAACTGTTTCCACAGGTACTTTTTTTAAGGGGAGAAAAAGGTGGGGAGAAGAAGGGAGTGAATTTCAAGGCTCAGCTGCCTCCCTTGCCAATTTGGAATTAGGTTTTCCACTGCAAAATATAAATTATATTTGGTTGTGCTATTAAGGGTTGAAACCCAAATGAAACATTCCAGTTGGCCCAAATGCATTTAATTGGAAATTTTGAGTTTGGAGGCATTATTGCTGTTTTCTCAGAACAGAGGCAAATTCTGAATATGGTGTTTCCCATGAAACAGGAGCTCTGGTTCCTGCTCTGCTCCCCTCCTCATGTTATTACACAGCTTTGCCTGTTCAAGGAATGACGGTTCTCAACAAATGGTTCAGTGGTATCTCCCCTGCTCCTCACACAAGCTAAGAGACACTGAAAGGACACCAGTTGGCCAACACCAGATAGAGGGCCAGCAGCACTGCAGGGATTCAAGCTTCGGCATTTCAAAGCCTCTGTTCACACCTTTGTGCATTGCTCACCAGTGCCTTACTTCATGTCCAAAAAGACTTCCTTTTGGACAAACATCTACTGAACTGGTTGTAAAGCTGGAGTAAGGACTTATGGTGAGAGGGGATCCCCAGGTAAAGGGTCCCAGTTGGACTGGCAGAAGGAACCTGCCATCTGGCTGACAGCACTGCGGCAGGTCCGAGGGGAGATGGAGAACTCTGCCTTTAGCACAGGCTTGCCAGTAATTTCCTGAAGCACTGAAAAAGTTTTCACTTCCAGAATTAAAACTTCTAAAAATAAAGTGGGTCTGATTCTCCTCTCACTCTCAGGAGATAAATGAAGGGTAAGTCCATTAAAGATACTGGTGTGAGATTGGTGTACAGCAGACAGAATTCAGGAAAGATATCGATATCTCCAAAATCCTCTGAATATTTTTTCAGACATAAACCAGGTATCTTTCCTGATCATAAATGCTTTATTTCCAAATGGAATTTCAATAAAATAAGCACAGTTAGACTAGCACGCTTATTATAAAGCCATAATGCAGTAGCACTGAAGTTTAGTCATGAAAGGTATTAAAAAAGCAGCCCTGCTAAAGCAAGAGAAATTGCTTTCTGACCTACCCAGTTTTAGGAGTAGGTGCTAGTGGTCTCTCCAACAAGGTGTTCAGCCTGTAGTAATCCAAGAACGTCCTGGCCACATTTCTTCCAAGCTTCATATCTGTGAGTTTTTAATTAAGGAGCATTTTTTTGAAATAATTAAAAATAATAATAATAAAAAAGCGAAGTCTAAAGGTAAATTACTGCTATTTGATGCACGAGCAAGTTTTACATTAACCATCCCACAGTGCTCAGGCTTCAGACAAAATGACTTGCGCAAGCAGATAAAGTGGGGGCCATCTTGTTTGCTTCTTGTTTTCACAGGCAGATGCTGCATAAAACCACAGACAGGAGGAAACAATCTTCCTCTCCCCCATGCCTGGTTGCAGATCCCTGTGGTGGTCATGAAGTAATACACTAGACAAAAGAGGCCTTCCAATTTCCATGTTCAGGGAAAATAATTACCTAAAAATGCTTGGATACTGGCGGTATTTCTGTGCTTGTACCCAGGAAATGAGGTCAACAATGTCATGGTATGAACCAGCCACAGACCAGTGTACAAACTCAAGGTTGGGATTAAAGCTGTAGCCCTCCAAACCTTTAGCACTGACCCCGACACTGTCCTGGGAGAATATACTGTTCTGTAATTGTGTTGTATTCAGGACCTGAAATGGTGATTTTAGCACTGAACTGGAAGGACAGTAGATTAACTTAAGGAGGTCAAGCAGTAACTCCGGGGGCTCTTCTCTCCTCACTAGCCATGATTCCTCCTTCAGGTACCCTGAGCCCAACACTAGGGCAGGTGCTGCACATCAGAGCTGCCACAGAGACTTTGCAGGCACAGGAACTAGACCTTCCTGAAGACTCAGTTGCCTAAAAAGAAGCTGAATAACCTGTGAATACATCGAAAAATAATATCCTAGACAACATGTCCATGGGGTGAATCTCCTGCTCGTGTGAAATGTCAGCACTAGGTCTGCCTGTTACAGAGCAGCGCCTGCTTATCATCTACAGGGTGATGTCCAACTGGGAGAAATGGTCGATGGCATTATCCACAGCTGTATTATGGGGGCTGATGACTATTTTGAACTGATGCCTATGCACGCTACAATAACCACATACTTCTCCAGGGCATGCCCCAAATGGTCATCATAATGGCCATTTCAGGAGTGCTGATGCAGTAGCTGAGGTGGCTACATAACCTGGGGAATCTAAATACACCTCTACATCCAACACCCAGCAGTCCAGGAAAATAAACTGTTGCTGGGTTGTTTTGTGTGTGTGCATGCATGTTCTGCTTTATCAATAGTTATCTGCTGATGCTTCCATTAGAAGAAAATTCCAGAAGTGCAGTGTCCCAGGGGCTTCCAGCAGCGCCTGTGAAGACACTAGCTTCTAAATGAAGCTTTTATTACCCGCCCACTTACATTAGACACATCAAAACAAGTAAGCATGAGACATCAGGTTCAGGCATCACTGTGAGATCTCTGTTTATCATTTATTTATTTATTTAAAGGGGAGGTCGAACTGATGTGACTCAGTCTTTAGCTCTATTTCTGTAAAAAGCCATCCACCAGCTCTGCTAGCGCTGCAGTCAAGCCCAGTTCTAGTGGCTGAGGATGACTCCTGACACTGCTTTTCTCTCCAGTGATCTGGAGAGATCCCACTTTTCCAGTTCCCACTGCTGTGCCTGGGGATGGTTACATGGATCTATCCCTTCTGTTTCAGGGTCTATCCTGATAAGCTCATTGCATTCCTAATACCATATGTGCTGCGGGCATCTATATTCTTCTGCCCAAAGTACAGCACAGCCTGAACAGCTGGTGTTCACGGCTGTTGTCTGCGTGGACAGGGATAGTTGGTTGTGTGAAACAGCACCGGCTGTTTCGCGGCTGCTGCAGTACCCAGTAAGCTCCCCTGCAGCCTGCCAGCACTGACAGACGAGACTAACTGTACGTGCATGAAAGTTCAGAAAGTTGGAGACAGCTTAAAGTTTATCAATTCAAGGGAGGGCAGCATTGCTTTGGAAGTGTTTTGTGATTGTTACTGGAATTTGGGGATGGCTGGGGATAGTTTGGTTTCTGCAGATGTGAACTCAAAGCAGCGGCAAAGGTTAAGAGTTCAAAGTAGCCTGAGAAAGTGAGAAAGGGGAGAGGGCTGTCAAACGTTTAAGGGATTGAGAAGAATAACATGGCTTGATCGTGTAGTTTCTTTCATTTACTTGGCACTTGAAAGACATAAAGTGGTAATTGGACTCAGTAAAGTCTCTAGGACATTTTGTCAGTGCCAATCTCAGAAGGCTCCTCTGTCAGAAATGGCCCTGCTGCCCTGGTCTTTGCCTCTCTACATTGCTTGTGTTTGCATGGTGGGAAAAACCTGACATGCTGTCCTGGGGGAGGAAGCCCTTAGATGAGAGTGGGTGCAGCCGAGGAAGTGGTACACGAACTCCTACGTGGTGCCTTACAACTCTGCCTTAACCCTGACCTGGAGGAATCTAGTTCTACTGCTGAACTTAGGTCTTAGGAACAGCTTTCTAAAGGTAAGGACAGTTAACCACTGGAATAACCTGCCTTAGCACATCTGGAAATCTCCAGACCAGAGGTCTTCAAGAACGGGTTAAACCCACAGCAGACACGAATGGTTTAGGTCTAACTGGTCCTGCATAAAGTTCGGAAAAGGAAGTATAGAAGGGCCTCTAAGGCCACTTCACCCCATTTTTCTACAGTTCCTAACATGTTTTGCAGCTCACACAGACCTCCTATTTGCTAAGATTACCAGGAAAGGTAAAGGCATTTTGCGGAGCATGGACACTCAGGTAGACAGACACTGTGAAGAAACTGGAAATACAAACCTGTGCCACATGCAGCCACCGAAAAGTCACAAAATGGGAACAACTTGCAGTCAGCATTGATGGAAAGAGACTCAAACCAGCATGGGATAAAAAATGTGCATGTTCTAATACTAGTCTCTCAAGCCGTCCTACCCCCTCTGCTCTGCCTGCCGCCTCGGCAAAGGATGAGCTGTTTCTGTCATGGAAATCAGGCACCTGATACATAAAACCAGAAACAGCAGTAACATCTTTCCCTGTGACTGCCTAGCTTGGGTGAGAAATGGCCTGACTCACTCAGCAAGTGCAGGTGGCACGTGTGTGCAGAACTGATGAAGAAAAACAAATCAAAGCAATAATATTTGCATTTATTTCAGGCCCAGACTCCACTTTGGCCTACAGTACATCATGAGCACATAAATAACTGCAACTACAACCAGAACCCACTTTTGCTGGTGGTTTGTTTGTTTGTTTGTTTGTTTGTTTGTTTGTTTGTTTGTTTGTTTGTTTGTTTGTTTGTTTGTTTGTTTGTTTGTTTGTTTGTTTGTTTGTTTGTTTGTTTGTTTGTTTGTTTGTTTGTTTGTTTGTTTGTTTGTTTGTTTGTTTGTTTGTTTGTTTGTTTGTTTGTTTGTTTGTTTGTTTGTTTGTTTGTTTGTTTGTTTGTTTGTTTGTTTGTTTGTTTGTTTGTTTGTTTGTTTGTTTGTTTGTTTGTTTGTTTGTTTGTTTGTTTGTTTGTTTGTTTGTTTGTTTGTTTGTTTGTTTGTTTGTTTGTTTGTTTGTTTGTTTGTTTGTTTGTTTGTTTGTTTGTTTGTTTGTTTGTTTGTTTGTTTTTTAACCAACTTTAACCAACTTCCTTTCTGCAATCACACATGCTGTGCTTTTGCCCACAGGAACTCCCTGCCTAGCTTGAACTGCACTTGATAGAAGGCCGTTTCCCAGCTATTCCCATCACAGGAGCTCAGCTCATATGAGACAGTAGAAATCCATTTAGGAGAGTCACGATGGAAACATCTGGGTGAATCTTCACCTCCACTAGTGTCTGCAATTCCCTTTCCTCTCCCTTCCTCCTCCATAGACTCATTCCTCCATGCTCCATATTTCTACCTGGAAGTGGAAACCAGCGCGCCCAAGGCCCCTCCTGCAAACACCATTCTCACAGCATTCATTCTTTGAATGGCATCAGCGGTTTGGGGGAGATTTCAGGACAGTCTGTTTATGCACAACTGCCAAATTTCACAGATGTTAGGAAGTTCAAGAATTGTGCCAGGTTCTCTGCAAAATCCCCTGTATTTATGATCCCTACCATGCCTCACACCCCAAAGCTTCCAGCCCTGGTAAGAAAAGAGGACAGAGGAGTGGGGAATCTCATAAGCCATTACGAGTTTTCAACTTAGAAAATTCATCGATCCTATTATGAACAGTCTGCTTAAGCTGGAGCCTCTAGAAGCACCAACACAGCCTTGTTCTGTCTGTGCACGGAGGCAATAAAAATCTCAATTTGGAAACCAGTTAGCAGTACAAGTCATTAGAGGAGGTACTAAATGTTGCTGCTTTAATAGCTCACTGATCATTTAATAATGTCACTGCTGCAGAGCATGGTGGCACCATTCGCTCGCTTTTGTTTTGCTTTTTGAAATTCAGGGTCATTCCACTTTCAAGTGAGTGGATTATCTCTCTTTCCCCTTTTTGCCAGACACTGCAAACTGCTTTAAATAATTCGAAAAAGGATGGCTCCTTCAAGTTCACCATCTCATTTTCATAAGGTCCAGTGTCATTGCTTTGGAACAGGAAGAGAAGCCGTGGTGGTGGTAAGGATTTGACAAGGGCAAAACAGTTAGCAGCCCCCACTCATCTTTGATAAGTCCTGTGGGGTCTCTGCCAAGCAGATTGGATCTCTGTTTTTATGTCTCATCTAGAGGACGGCACCTCCATCAATTTGAAACACTGCACTGGCTTATTAGCTTATGGAATTCGTCCAAGTTTAGTCCTAAACAGGATTTGAAATCGTGACCGTTCAGTCCAGAGGCACCACTGACCAGACCCACGCAAGTCTTTTGTTTCAGACAAACAGCTTTAAGTTATCCTAAAGACAGACAGAGTGGAAGAAAAAAAAATAGGGAAGGGAGAAAGAAGGGAAGGAAAATGAGACACAAAGAGAAAGATGAATCTTTTTAATAGCTCAAATTAAAAACCAGAAGCAGCTCTTTGTTCAACAAAACTGAATTCTACAGCAAGTCTCAGTCCATCACAACAACAATCCTGCTATTTATGAAAAGAGGGTTATTTTGTGTGGG